TATCTATCTATTTATTTATTAAAATTATTCAGACGGCAATAGAACAATTAAAGTAAAGGCAACTTAATAAAAGAAAATTAATAATGAAGTACATAAAACAAACAACCAACATTTACTGTATGATCTCGTCTGCCTAGAATGAGGCAACTAAGTCTGTCTGAAAAGGAGTGGGGGAAGTAAACTCTTTTCTAATCCCACCCCTTTCTTCTGTATAAATTCAATGATATGATCCTGAAAATGTGAGACAGGCTTCTTCTCTGACAATGTTCAAATCCCGGTCACAGTAAAAACAGTTTTGTTTATCTCACATGAAGGCTCATATCTTAACTCTTTTTAATGCACTTTATTCATGATTTAAAAGCCTTGTCAAGATTCAAGAATCAAAAATGTGTTTGCCATTTGCAGTAAAACCACATTGGAAAAAACGGTGCAAGACTATCCCAGTGTGCACCAGACAGTGACAGCACACACCAGAGCTCTTGCGTGATAGTTTTGTTCAACACTTTAAGTTGCCTTGTGTATGAACTGTGCTATACAATTAAACTTACCGTGCCTTTTATGTGGTTGAAAGTAGCCGATTATTTCTTTCATAGCTGACACGTCAACGCATTAGTTTTGTGTTGTTTATTTACGTTTTAAAACATATTCCTCAACTCAAATGGTAGAAAAGTGGTGGCCAAAAATTAAAATCCAAGCGTTTTATGGTCTGTATGTCCAGTTTACCAAACAAATGAACGGATTAAGATTAAGATTCAGAGATCCTTTATTCAGTCTACAGTTGGGAAATGTCAGAGTTGGAGTTACAGAACCGTGTACTATGTGGAGAACACCGCACAAGATAAGTGAACAATAACTCTATAGTAAAATAACAAAACATCTCTAACTTTAGCATAAAAAAGCAAGTCAAAAATCTCTAACCTTAGCAGACTGAAGAAGCAAGTCTAAAATCTTTAACCTTATTATAATAAAGTAGCATGTGTAAAATCTCTAACTATAGCATGATAAAGAAGCAGCCATGTCACCATTTAAACTTGCCAGACATACAGTATATGTTTTGTGTGTGTGTGTGTGTGTGTGTGTGTGTGTGTGTGTGTGTGTGTATCTATATGTTCCAGCGCTCTCTCTCTCTCTGCTGCACTTCTGGGGTCTGTCTCTCAGGTCTGTGTGTGTCGTTGTGCAGGGAGGGGAGATCAAAGTGGGGGTCGCAGGCTGTCCAGACACTCCAGAATGCGTCCCCCCCAGTTTTACTAGCCAGGGCCAACTTGAACTTGACCGTGGAGGCTGCAGTATTGGGGCTTGTAACCCAATCCCAAACCCAGACTAGACACATAACTTCAGTGTTGTGGAGAGATGCTTTCAGGGATTGAGGGAAGCTTTGGAATACTTTCAAAACGACTGTAATCACTGAAAGTTAAAGTAGATAATACTTGTTTATTGTTAGTTTTTTTAAAGTATGGCGTAGAACCTGGAAAATCATGCAATGCTAGTTCTATTATGCAAGTGATAGTTGAATCAGTCAGATACTTAAAGTCACCAGAACTTGCCAAATATAAATTAAAATCACAGTCAAACTTTACTGCCATCAATTGGGTTTTGCAATTTATCTACCCATGGAGTTGGCAATATCAAGTAAAGATATCCACCTATCATACCTTACACAGAGAAAGTGGGTTTATAGGATTATAAAGTGGGATTATGTCAATACCAATGTCAATGTGAATCTCATCTTTATTATAGCACATTTACAACTCCAGCTGCCCAAAGTGCTTCACAGGCACAAAATAAATCTGCATAAAAAACACACAGTACACATTGGACGCACTCTGAACTCAATATCTGATATCTGACAAACTGAGGTCCAAGGTTGGCTTTGGCCGCATGTAAATAAACATTTTATTCATATTTCCTTGTGCGACTCACATTTGGTTTAGTATATTGCAGTTTATTAGGAGCGTCATGGTTCAGGGTTTTCAAGACTCATCCTGGTTTTCCAAGAGCACCTTTTTCCCCAAGGTTGGATTGATTTGTAACACCTGCAGCCTACAGACACATCAAAGTGTTTTCTACTGAAGGTAAAGAGCTTTTAAAGGACATATAATCTGTATTACTTCATCGTTCTATTGCTGAAGTATAGAATACACATGTGATATATACACACTAATATATATATACTCAGATGGACAGAACTAACTGCAGAGAGTGACTTTTGAGTGTATACAGTGTGATATACCATAATATTGCACATTATTACACAGCAGTATTGCACATGTATATATATGTATTTTTTTTAACAATTACCACTATACAATTGCACATTTGTATTACTATCGCACATATTACTACTGAAGTATTGCACATATCACTATAACTACACAATTGCAGCTGGGGAACCTGTGTTCCAAACCACAACAGATGTAACTTTCTTAGAGTCTGTGTAACTTGTTCCTGGTTCAAAAACATTTTGATTCTGTCACTGGTGTCAGATTTTTTTTCATACAGAGTTCAAAAGAGAGAACCACCTTTAGTCAATCACTCACTGTGGACTGGTGACTCAGTGAGTGAGTCTATGTTTTCCTCACATGTGGTTGTTCTGTTTGGACAAACAACAATACATATTTATGAAACAAAAATAAAGTACCACATCTTTTACAATAAGTGAAACCAAACACATCAGACTAGTCTTTTGTGAACATTCTTTGAAAATACTGTAGTAGTTATCCACATCTTCACTATTGCTACATTATTGCACATATTACTATATTGCACATGTTCATTTGACTAGATATTGTACTTAATCCTACACTATCACGACGACTTCTATCATTCCCAAAGTAAGGCGCATATTACCATTTTGCATGTCATTATAGGCTACACATTGCACGGTAACTCGAGTCAGAGAGGGAGAATAACACATGTTTATTGTCTGCTGTGTTCGTTGTACAGTCTGATAGTCTGTGGAAACCTGACTTGACTCATCCATGTTGTGTCTTCCTTGGCCTATTATTGTAAAAACACAAATCAACAGATTTAAATGGGTCAAGAATCCCATTAATATGTAAAAATCACAAGAAATGTTCTATAATGATTTTTAATATATGGGAATTACAAATACACGTGGCACATCGACCCACACATCGCTGGAGTAAGCCCTGTTGTGGAAAGTAGTTATTGTAATCGTATACATTCCATATACTTTTTGGAGTCGGCTTTTAGCACTAGCAGTTTAGCCATGTCATTGTGATTAGTTAGGCAACATTAAAACAATATATAACGTCATGAGCTTGTCTCTTTAATTCTGTCGAAACCCCCAAAACTCACACCACACATACAGATATGGAATAAAATCTATTGTATCAATTTAAAGAAAGTTTTGCATGTGTTTTACTTTGAATTCATCCTATTAAACAGCTGCGTGTTCCAAACTTATGTTACGATAAGTACTTTTCATAACTGTTGGTAAACTGCGTCAGTGCTAACATGTGACTATATTGCACATGTTACTATTACTACAGTATTGCATCTATCTATAATTATACACTATTGCACATATCACTACTAAAGTATGTGACATCGGATATAACAGTATTTCACATATTACTGAATTGCAAATGTTACTTCAAGAGTATTGCACTTATTTATGTACACACTATTGCTGAAGTATTGGACATACTGTATTGTACCACGACAGTGGCGGCGACAGTGGCTCAGTTGGTAGAGCATTGGCCTTTGGGCCTGAAGGTCGTGGGATCGAGACCACCGTAAGACCTACTTCACGACTCCCACTGATAACTGCTGTCGCTGTGTCCTTGGGCAAGACACTTAACCCCACTTTGCCTGAAGCCCCCACTGAAACATCTGCTCCTGTGGAC